TACCGTACGGAATCGCCCATTCACTGTTCGGACTCGCCGATTCCGTACAGTGAATCGGCGATTCACTGTACAGAATCGTCCGGTTCTCTCTAGAACCGGACAATTTCCGATTTTTGGGCGATCCGGTTCCCTTTTCACTATTTCCGAGTCGAACCGGGCGAGTCCGGTTCGACTCGGCGTTTTTTAAAACGCTGGTTATGACCCTTCCATGTTGTCATTACTTACAAAATAGTTGGTTAAGATTGTAAATTGTTAAAAAGGCGGGGGGTGGGGGCCGCAGTAGATTGTCCCATAAGGCCCATGAGATAGATAAAGTCACATTACAGAAAACTCAGTAACAGCTCCAAATGCAAGTCGGAAAAATTGCGCCAGACAACATCCACAATTCATTTGAATATGCTCATAGGTATGAGAATAGAGAGCGTGACATTTCTTAAATGAATGACATTCACTAATAGGCACTTTCTAGATGATTATTTAGACTAACTTCACAGAAAATCCACAACTTTGCATCATGAAGGGACAAAAGATAGAGATGAAAAAACTTTGGAAATACAATTTCATGTTCCTGGCTTTCTGGTTGAAGAACCATCTCTTTTGCTCACCTGTTTAGAACCTCTTTCTCGGTCTCAGGATGGGCTAATTTTAGATTCTCTAGGAAACCTCAACTCTTGAAGGCTTCCATCAAATAATGGAGTTGTTCCCTCTCAACTAACTTTAGGGAGTGAATTAATAATGCTTATTCTAATAGAATCCAGTTCCTTGATGCCTTGGAAGAGACTCACACCCACTTACCAAAAGACAGTGTGGATAGGGAAATTGCTATCCCACACTTCAAAGTTAAGGGGAAACCTATTGATACCAAAGATCTAGGATTAAATGGCACATAACCGCTAGCTCTAGAAGAAGGTTCAATGCTATAACACATATCTCAAATGGTAATCGTTCCTCCTTTCAACCTAAACATATTAGCCGCATCTTCATCACATATTTCAAGAATCTCTTCTCCAATCCCCAGCATCCGTCTCCCACCATCGGAGACCTCCCTTTCCAAACTCTCTCCTGAGAAGATGCTGCTTGGCTTGAGAGACCTTTCACCCTTGAGGAAATTCACGAGGCTGTTTTTGACCTCCCCAAGGGTAACGCCTTGGGGCGAAATGGCTCCCCTATAGTCATTTTTCAAAATTTCTAAGATATTGATGACTTATCAGAGCACAACAAGTAGCCACAAGTATCTTATATGGGAACAACAGATTCTTCCTAATTTTCGTTCACATTTGGAGGATGAAAATCCTAGGTGGGCTACCAAGAAGAGCTAGAAATAGTTTGAATGTTTTTTTATAAAAAGGTTTTATAGGCTATTTCATATTATTTATTTATTTCATTGTTGAACTAGTTAGGGACTTTTTAGATATTTTAATTAAAGTTAAGGAGTTTAATTTCAAGTTATATATAAGTTAGGATATTTTGATCGAAAGTTAATTGTATGGACAAATATTGTCCAAAACGATAAAATTTTCAATATAAATAAGGGCGTAGATGGGCTGGAGAGGCATTTACGTATTCCTCTTTTAAGAAAATAAAAGACTTTGTCTTGGGAAGAAAAGCCTAAAGCTTGAGACCTAGGTGGGAGAGAGCCTAAGGGTTTCTCCAAAATTGTATGTATCAAGGTTCTTTCTTGCTAATTTTCTACTATTTCTTCAAGTTCTCCACATCAAATTGGTATCAGAGCCCACGATCTGTACAAAAATAATTGTAGCATTATACAGAGTTACTGTATCACCAATTTTTTTGGTGCCCTAGGTAAACAACAAAGCGGGGAAGTTAAAATGGGGGGTCTAGGTTCGCTGATTTTGTCTAAGGGTTTGTGACTTTGTCAAAACAATCTAAATCTTACTGATTTCAGTAGTTTTTTTTTTTTTATTTGCTTAGGGTTTGTGATTTCGACAAATCCATGTCAGCGAGAAGGGGCCGTAAAAAGGGGATTTTTGTATATCCACTCTGTGATCCCATAGATAACAGAATCGAGGAACTTGAAAGACAAGTACAGCAGCTGACACAGCAATTCGTGAGCCTCAATAATGGGCACGACAGTGATCTTTCAGCCCAAGAAGATCTCGATTGCAAGCCTTTTCACTTTTGTGCTTCACGTGGGGAGTCGAGCAATGTGGACAGTGACATAAGACCTAGATGTGGGGAACATCACTATAGGGTTTTCGATTTCGATGATGAGATTATTGATTTTGACACATATCATATTGAAAATCAGAAGGATGTAGATTCACATCTGCCACCAATCTTCGAGGCATACTTAGATAAAAAACAAGATCTTGAAGAATCACAAGTACTATTCACAAGCACCGTTCATAGGGGTAAAACTGTCATTACAAAATTTAAGTTTAAGTTAAGATATATAAGTCATTTTAATCATTGTACGGACATGTAATGTTTTTGAACATTGAATTATAATAAACAAGAGGAGTGTGGGGCCTTGAGAGAGTCAATTTCACATTTTTTAGAAATTGAAAGAGAAAAGTTGGGGCTTTTGGAACCCTAGCTTGAGGTATGGGGAAGAAACCCTAGGTTTCTTCGACTTGCAATTGTGTTTGGTCTGATTCTTGTTGATTTTATTGTTCCCTTAAATTCTCCTACATCAGATATCCTGGCCTTGGCCTTATGGCTTTCTTTGAAGAATTCTATGTAGAGATCAACTAAATACGACCCTAAATTTCACCGTCATATCACTAGTCCCTAAAGTTCTAAGAGCCGAAAAGTTGAGAGACTTCCGCCCTATAATTTTTCTTAATTCCTCTTACAAGATCCCAAGGAACTGCAGGAAACCGTGATGGCTGTTCTGTTATGGAGCATATGGCTGGAGAGGAATGGCCACGGCTCTGCTAGGCACCAACACTCCATACGTGATTCAATCATTGCATTGATTTCCTTGTGGCCTAAACTCATTCATGTTTTTATATCCCTTCCTGTTACACATTTCTTTTGTAATTGGGGAGTACTTTTGAATATTATGATCCCCTCCCCTACCATTAGAGCCACGTGGAACCCTCCACCCAGCTTCGAACTTAATACGGACGGATCTTCCCTTGAGAATCATGGTCCCTCGGGCTATGGAGGCACTCTTTCTAACTTTGAAGGCATATTCCTCTCTTCTTAGAATACTTTGCACTATAGATTCCACCACGGTAGAGGCCTTGGCTCTCAAGAGAGTGCCTCAGGATGGGCCTCAACCCTATGGTATGCAAGTAGAATCTGACTCCGGCAATATCATTCTATGGGCTACCAATCAGCATCGACCTCCTTGGCATTTGACCTCTATCTTTGAGCATATATTCCTTTCATGTGAAGCTCTCTACGAGCGGTTAGCTTCAAACCGGTGGTTTAGAAAATAGATCGGTGTCCTGGATCGGGCACCCCAAAAATCCATCTGGACCGGTGAATCGGCCTTTCAAATCGGGAATCGAGTAGACTCGGTAATTTTTGTCTCAAAAAATATTTAAAAAATCATTATAAATCTCTAAAAATAATATTATTTTAATTTCTAAAAGAATTTAAGAGTGGTGCATTACGTATTTTCATTACTTTGTAAAAATAGGTGATTATTGAGACGTTTTCCTATCTAGATGCCTGTATAAGTAAAATAAATATATTAATAATTAAAATATATGACTTGGTTA